AGAGGTTTGTTTTCCTCCACACTCAGCTGCAGTCCGAGGGTCCCCCAGCCCCCCGCGTCACTGCACCGCGTTTGGCAGAAGGGGGGACAGGGGGTGTTGGGGGGGATTGGGTTTATGATGATCAATGGGCTCTCCTCACTGTGTCTAGACATGGGCCGCTTTCACCTAATGGGCTCTCACGGGGCAGGGGTGGGGCTGGGGGTGGGGGTTTGATCTGGTGCTGCTCCACAACACTAGCTGAGACTCCCTTGCTGACACTAATGCTCTCTATCCCTGGCAGTTTTCCGCCATATTTGGGCTTGGGTACCAAGACGGTGTTTTCGCTTTGGCCAATGAGCAAATGAGGACCATGAGGTCACAGGCCAGGCTTGCGGCTTTTCTAATGGCTCTGATTGGTCCATCTGTGATCTGACACGGTTTAAGATCAGATGCAAATTTTTAAAGGTTCACCAGGTTTTTCTACAGAGGAAGAAGATGTTGCAAAGCCTTTTGATTGATGGGGTTCAAAGGTGTCCTTGTCTGTTTAACCCCTCTCTGAAAGATCATAAAAATGTCACAAAATGGCAAAGGCAATGGCTGGCTCCAAGTGGAAATTAAAAAAAAGGACTGGACAGAGTGCATGGAAACATTAAGAAAATTATGAACCAGGGATGTCCAAAAATACCACAAACCTATGAGCAGAAACAGTTCTTCAGTTGGAGATTCTAAATGGAACGATTTGGATTTAGTGATGTTGTTTACCAGAATATCAAACAGAGGTGCAAAAACAAACACAAACACACAGACACTGAAGGGCGCATTTGTGATGACCACACCTGACGTGCCTGTGTGTGTGAGTGCCTTAGCCCCAATCTGGACCCCCGCTGATAATGCTATAGCAGCCTGCTGTGGTCAGAGGGAAATGAATTAGGCCCAATCACCCTTCCAGACCTCCCCCTCTGCTCCTCATGGCATCAGGAGGTGGTGAGGGGAGAGGGCTTGAATCACAGAGAAGTCAAGCCATCTCAGACAGCACTGCCCACATCTGAGAGAAAAAAACAACTCCCATAATAAAAATGCACGTCCATCTTCCATATCAAATAACACTCAATTTTAAAATTTGGATAGACTCATCACAACAAATGACGGCTCATTCAGAGAGATGGGTTACGTAGGAATCATGTATGTGTGTCACTGTTTTATGCGGTCGTGACAAGCACAACAGGGACACTCAGCTCAGGTGATTGGACCACCTTCCTCCCCTCCCTCATCCTCCTCCTCCACCTATACCTTTATCAGCTGGTGTCTTGTGGTATGGGCCTGACACAGCTGCTCACACTGATTGCACCTCTGTGTTTTAAGTGAATCATCAGGAGCGTCACTGTATTGAGTTGCGTCTGTTCAGAGTGCTCAAATTCTGTTTTTAACAACCCCATCTCCTTGTTTTCTTCATGTCCCTCTGCACTTGCTACCATCCTTTTTTACTTCCACTAGCCAGTATCTCTCCACCTTCGGGTGTCTTAATGATCTCTCAGAGAGTAGCAACATAAACCAGGACACCTGCGGACCGTCTCAGTAAAACTCCTCTGTGAAATCTTTCTCCTTAGTGGAAAATTCTTGAAATACTAAAAAAGCAGGAAATCAATAATTATGTTGGACCTTCCACCACAGCAGATCCCAGATGAACAGCCATAGGAAAAAGATGAAAAGCACGTTCAGTTTTAAAATCTATACGCCATGAAATGTACAATTGAGCTTTTCACAACTGTATTTGTGCTCAAGAGTACAGTGGCAAAGTCTCAGCGCCCACACAACCCCAATGACTTGTCCACACACTGCACTTAGAAAACGTGTATTTTACAACCGTTGAAACACATGTTACAGTATGAAACAGAAACATAAAAATGATAATATACAGGGTGATTAAACTGGGTAACTGACCTGGGTGCCGTCGGGCCCGATCTTGTCCAGGGCCCCGGTGGTGCTGTACAGGAAGCCAATGATCTTCTGGAAGTTCTCAGAACCGATGCTCCAGGACCCATCCACTAAGAAGGCCAGGTCGGCCTTCACGGCCTTGCAGACTGGAGGAGAGAAACAGCATCACCATGACAGCCTGATTAGTAGGGGAAGAACTCCATTGGCTGGGAATGATCCCTGCTTTTCCCTGTGTCTCACAGTGTGATTTAGAACCTCAACACCAATCCATCTGCAGTGGCTCTTTATGAAGAGACAGTCTGCTGCTCTCTGGGGGAATTCGCGTTTGGCCATTGCTGGACTTCCATGGAGGGAAATAAAAGTATCGCTTGATGTTTCTTGGGTAAATATTCCATAACATTAGATTTATGGGCTCCCACCACTGGCTTGTATGGATTCCAAGCGGGGAGTACTTTTCAATTAGCTTTAAGTACTAAGAATCATAGTAGAACTCCACAGGAAAGGTAATCAAAGGGCCCACTTTTGTGGGAGCCGAAGGCTTCCAGCAAGGGCCACTTAGTCCTTCCTAACAGCAAATGCTAAGCAGCAAGACCATTGCATGCCTGTACTAATGACAGGCAAATTTGGTGGACACTAAGACCATCTGCTTAATACTTCTGAGAGACTGACAGACAGTCAGCATTAATAAGTTTGGCTTTACAACATTGCATGTGATGCCCATCACTTAAAACATGCTTTGAACCTGATTGCCAATACAAGCATTATGGTTGCACTTGAATACCCACTCCTCGACAGTGGCATACGAACTTTATTATTCTATGTCACGATTACCATTTGTTTTTATAGTAGACATCCTGGTGTAGCGGCTGGATGTACAATGTGCATGAAAAAAATGCTAACTTCTGAAACCATTTGCTGACTCTGCGCCTACGCTGTTTATTGGCTAAATTAAACTCATATTATTCCTCATGTTAGATCTGTCCCAGGGAAAATATTTTCTGCAGCATGGTTCAGACCTCATGAGTTACAAAGGGAGCTTTGATCTGCATAATGAAACCCAGTGAAAAATATGAGCTCCCCATATTCATTCCAGAGGAGCCGAGCATCTAAACAACTGAAGACGTGAATCTGTTTCACTCTGGCAGGCAAAGGCCACCTGTCACAAGCAATGTGCTCATGATAAAGGTTGTGGCGCCCCTGTCCTGTGTCGGTCAGAGCGGGTGCAGGGCACAAGCACTCGAACACGGGCTCTTTCTCACCTTCCTTGGCGGGTGGGATGGTGGGGGCAGGGGTCGTCGTGGGGGGCATGGTTGGCGGCTCGGTCGGAGCAGGAACTGAACAAGACACAACATGCACATAAATCAAGACCACAGCATGACACATTCCCTTTTTCATCAGCACAAAACATCATTTCACAGTGGTGGAGTAAGGAGCTCTTTACACTTGCAAGCGGAAACAGGTCTGATCCACCTCACTCCTGTTCACCAGGCATGAATGCTAAAAGCACACTGCTCCAGGTGTCGAACCGCACTGATGTGGCCCAACGAGCTGGGAACGAGCAAGCAAGCCAGTCTGGCCCAGCAGAAAAGCATGAACATGCACACATGCTAACCATACTAACAACCGCTCTTAATGTTTAATGCTTTCCTCCCATCTGCGCTGGACTAGAGTCCACCCCCCCACTGATGTGACAAATCGGTAGGAAAGCAAAAGAAACCAGACCAACAAATTGTGGTCAGGACTGGGCTACCTCCCGGTTGCTATCCTCAGTGAGAGAGCACCATGGACCCTCGGGAGAACACAGCCTGTATCCCGGAAAATTAATGTGCCTTCATACAGAAAAACGTGCTGCTCTCCCCACCTCATTGCCTTGCCAATGGGCTGCATCATTGCCTGGTTATTGTTGTAACTAAGTGACTTTTATACTTTAGAGGGGAAATGAACCATGGGTAGAAACAGGCCATCAAGAAGAGGCTTAGCAGCAGACACAAAGTAAATGCATCCATTCAACATGCTTGTCTCTGGAGCGACCACACCAGGCCAAGAGACGGAGATGTTCTTAAATTTAGGCGTAAGGTTTCTAAGCCACGCTCTTCTACAAATAGGCTTGTACACAGACGGTACTGTTTCCAAACACATTGTGACAGTTTTAAGACATCGGAGGCGTTCATTATCCAAGATACACACAAAAACACAAAGCAACTGCTTCTCACATTACAGGCAGTTAGCGCACAGCAGGACTTGTAAGCGGTAAACACGAAAGAGCAGAACTTTATTCCACCTGCGGTGCTGTATCACAACTACTCAAGTGAATCTGCTGGTTTGTTTTAAGTGCAGGGTACTGCTGCGTCTTTTCCCTGCTTCCCCAAACACACCTTCAGCTCCATTGCTGCAGCGCACACCTACTGTACAGCCGCTAAAATAATTATTTTCAATAGCAAAGGCTCAATTCCCCCGCAGGGGAGGCATAACAATTTTGAAAGGCTGCGGTTTTTAATTTGTGTCATAACAATGCAATGCATTTGGGGTCTACAAAGGCACTCAGCACCTCAACACAAGCACATATCACAGTCAGAATGAGGACAATTGCTTCTACCAGGAGGTAATGTATTAAGCTGAACAGATACACGGAGATCCAACCCCCCACCCCACCCCAAAGGTACATACGTGTTTTGTCCACGGTGGTGACTGCGGGGCCCTCCATGTCCTGGTACTGGGTGTAGACGCTGATCTTGTATTGGGTGTTGGGAGTGAGGTCATAGAAGCAGTGTCGGGAGGCCCCGCCCCCTAAGTTCACCTCCTGCCTCTGTCCATCTGGAAGGAAGGACAATTCTGTTGAGTGTTTTTGCGTGGTCAGGTGATGCCAACCAAGTCCTGCTGGCTGTTAATCACAGTGTACACGTGAATGTAACACCTAGTGGTTTACTCTCTTTTGCAGTGTCAAAGAGACTCACTCCTGCTTCCTGATTGGCACAGAACACTATGCAAAATGAGATCTTGAATGATTTGTCATTGTCTCTGTAAAGGCCTCATTTCAGTCAATGCCAAAGTTCTTAGGCGACTCCTGACCATGAACAGGCAGTAGAGTCCAGTGGTGTAGTGGTAAGGAGCAAGGCTCATAACCAAAAGGTTGCTGGTTCAATTCCACTCTAGGGCACTGCTGCTTTGCCTCAGTAAATATCAAGCTGCATAAATGGATAAAATTGTAACCCTTGCAAGTTGCTCTGGGTAAGGGCAACTAAACAACAATAATGCAACATAATGTAAACAATATCAATCATTGCAGGCCACCTCAGTTTGCCTTTGAAAAGCAGTCAATATTGTATATGATGTGACTATCTTAGTTTATATAGAGCTTCACATTAATAATAAATAAACGGAAATGAATATAAGGAGGGTGGTTGATGCAGCAAGGGCACACTGAGTCAACAGCTCTCAAAAGAGTGCTTGATCACTGCTTAGTTTCTTTACATACTAGGTGCTGTATGTTGTAGAGACCCATTCCAGGTGCCTAGATGAACCACAACATCAGCATGTTGGAACAATGGAAGGGGAAGAGCTGGAATGCCCGAGGCAAGTTCCAGACCAGCAACGGCAGAGCGGAGGCCGGTGAAACAACGTGTGGTGACACAAAGACTAATGGCAGTAATTCATCAACTTCTCAACCACAATTATTTTAAATAGGTATCCCTCAGCCACAATAAAGGACAAAACCCATAGCACGTTAAATATAACCTCCTACTGGAGAAGACTTAGCAGGAGCATCTTAGCCATGCATTATGCTCTGTGGATCCTGCAAGACCCGTATGATTATTCAAATTTCCAGAGACGGCCTTGACCAATCGGATTATGAGGCCTCCTGCAGGGCTGGCTCCCTCATTTCCTTTATCCTGGAACTGTAATTTTTAAAATCTCCTTCAAGGGATTTTATTCATCTGCCATGAAGGAATTATATTTCCCATCCACAGCGTGTGTTCACTTTCAGAAGCAGGATTTCTTTCATACATCTTCATTTCCCTGTAATTTAACAACGGTGAGCAGAGAGAGTGTGAGCAACTCCTGTTTTGGAGACATGGAGGGCCAGGACAAAGCAAAGCTGAGACAATATAAAATGAAGTGGGTCTTTTTTTGTATCAAGTCAGAAATTTCCAGAAGCATGACAACAGTTTTCTTCCTAGACCTGCTACAGACTTATCCCGAGTCTGGAAGTCATTTAAAAAAATTCGGCAAGGACGCTCACACACTTTCAATCCAATTTACATCATAACACGAGCCGCAAAGCTCCTGATCCAAGAGCGAGAAGCATCCAAAATTACCCAGAGTTATATGTCTGATCATTTTTAAACCAATTGTGTTAGAATTTTTGTATAAATTGCCCACTACTATTGTGCAACACAGTTACAGACCAGATTTTCAGACCAGCTCAGCAAGAGGTTATTTAAGAAATTCACAAAGAAAAGTATTTGCTTACACAAACGGCACAGTGTGGTCCCATCAGACATTTGGAAACCATAAACATCTCCCATGCTGAAGAAAGCAGTTTGCTAGAATAAGTGGAGCCCTACAGATCTTTCCTATGAAATTTTACATTCGCTAGTTAACTTGAAGCCATTAGTGGTAATCTGTCTAATAATGATAATAGCATTTCAAAGAGTTGGTAACACTGCTACATAAAGACAGCTCTGAGAATTCTTTCCCTTATAAATCCTTTTCCTCTAACATTCTGTGGGATGCTCTGTGCCATGGTATGCTGGCTGTGGCACGATCAGGGAGATTGGATGGAAAAGCTCAAAGGAACACACACCTAAAACGAAGGAGTTTCAGAAGTTGCCTCTGCTTTCAGATTTCACATTTTTAAACTGAATTCAGTCTTATTACTGTAATTTCCATGCAGTTCCCTTATGGACTAACAGATTTATTTTTTTGCTTGCTAGCACTGACAAAGCACATGTAAATCATTGGTGTGGGTCTCGTCCTGGTTAATCACAGTGTGGTTCAGAGGGAACCATCTTGGACATACACACACATGCACACGGGTCAGTACTCACACATACAAACACACACACACACACACACACACACACACACACACACACACAAACTCACAGGCCAGACCTCACACATGTACACACACACAAACATACAACCATGCATGGACACAAACAGGTAAAAAAAACACACACAAGTGCGCACATACACACACAGAGACAAGTATGCAGGACAGGCGTGCATGCACCCACATCCACACACACACACACACACACACACACACAACTCCACAACTACACACCCCAACAGTGCAATGCTGGCCACGCCCATATCCCTCTATAGCACTCCCCCAGCCTGTGTATATGAGCTTTAGCTTCAGTAATGCCAGCCAGGCACATACCACGCCAGCAGGATATGGCCACCCGGAAAGCCTGGAGGACAGGATCTACATTTAATATGTCCCGTCTCCCGCGCTCAGAGCTGTCTTTACATACATACAGAAAGAGAGGAAGCAGGGGGGCTTGGAGGATTTGGAGATAAACAGCGCGCTCTTCTGAAAGCACCAGTGAGAAAAGCAATGAAATCTCATCTCTATCTCCAAAGCTGAACAGTAACACTGTCAGCGTACACGAGCGATATACATCAGCACATCAAGCTGCAAGGTATAGGTAAGTCACTGTTACACATGGGAAGAAAAAAACAGAAAATCTGTTTTCTCTGCATTGCAGAGACAGATAAAAAAAATCACAATGCCTACTCCTCATGCCTGTGATATATACCATACAAGTGCTGTATACAACCACTAATAGTATCACTCATCTTCATTACACTAAAAAACACTAAACATTAGAATAAAATGGATATATCTATACCTAAAAACAAAATGTCCAACAGAGTGAGGGATATCTTCGGCAAACAGCAGTAAGTCTGTACTTACATTGTAGGAAAACACCCTAAGACTGAATTCTATTTCTGATCCTGGATAAAAAAAAAAACAGAGAAAGCGATAATCAAGTAATCCAGTTAGTCTGTTTCTCCCAGAACTCAGCAGAAATGTGTGCTTATTGTTTTTCCCCACATTCAGGCAGCCAGATGGTGAGCGGGAACCCAGTCATGAGTGCTCTGAATCATGAGTTCTGTTTTCTCTCTGAGCACACAAACGCTGGCCCTGTGCACCGGGAAGGTCATGGTAACGTTTCACAAACGTTGTGAGGATGTTGCATGTGGGCCGGGGCCAGTGTGGGGTACTCACTGAGCAGCGACTCGATGACTATCCTGTAGATGGATGCGGTGGTCGGCTGCCACTGGGCGCACATGGTGGTCATGCGCACCTGGTATGTGTTCAGGTCGGTCACACCCAGCTTCACTGAGGAGAAGGGAGGGGGGAGAGAAAGAGAGAGAGAAAGGAGTGTTAATCTCAATACGGCGCAGGAGCCAAGACCGAACACGACCACCTGTCAACCTAAACATTCCATTCAGAGAGGCAGAGCAGAGAAGACAGTGCTGACAGCAAATGGAAAAAACACATTAAGACAAGACTGTGTTTCTGCATTAGCAGTGCTCATTCCTGCTGTCAGTTGGCAAACTATATATATATAGAGCCAGTGCGACATGAGCAATAGATCAATGAACAATAGAGTTCTTAGAATATTAGCATTTGGCACACAGCAGAGTTCAAACCTGTTTCACAGCAGAAAAACCTATGTGGATCTTTAAACTGAAAACGTTTATTTACACTGAAATAAAACAAAAGACTTTTGAAAAACTGGTCATATGTATCACATAGGAGATAGTTCTTTGAACCATTCTTCCAAAAGCTAAGCAAGCTGTGCTGTCTTCAGTAACAGGAATGCAGTGGTTCAGCTTGAAAAGCAGAAGTCAGCAAATACACATAAAGCAAAATAAACAATTTTTCCGAATTAGCATTCTCTTGGTGAGCACATATCTAGCAGCAGCACTAAACCACAGCACATGTTTCCTATCGGTAGCAAAACTCACAGGGTTCACTGGCCTCAGCATTGCCAATGTACTTCTCAACTCCATCACAAACAAAGGGAGCTGTGGGATCTGCTTTCCCTGTTCTGTTTTCTGGTATGGCACGCACAATGGAATCAACATTATAATTTTTCACAATCCGCTCAATGTCGGATCACTTCAAGAAATCATAAACAAATGAGAGCCAGTCAGTTTTCTTGGCTCGGGCCGGGACATAAAGCTCTTTGATGAATTTGGACGGACGTTTTCAGTAGTCTGACACTGCTTCTCTTGGAGCCACTAGGGCTCACAAAGCTCCATGCAAAGAAACTTTGTGACGTGAATAATCTTCATTTTGGTCTCAGCTTCAGAAAGAACAGCTATACACTTAGGGCCAAAAATGTCTATCTGGCAAGGAGGCAAATCCACATTTATTTTTTGTTAAAAATTTGTAAAATAACTCAACAAGGTCCCTGAGATTGGAAAAAGGCTTATAGCAGAATGCAGTAGATCGTCTTTACAGTGGTGACACATTTGAATAATGCAAGTAGGTGCTTCTTGCTTCCTAGTACAACCAATTGTAAGAGCCTGCACACGGACAGACAGATTCTAAATTAATATAGCAGGTGCTGTTGAACAAAGTTGAAAAACAAATACATTTCCTTGAAATTTCAAATTTCAGTTTGCAAAGTACATTCAATATTTACACTACTCCTTAGACCTGCACAGCAATGTTAATATATAATGTCTATTAATGTAATGGTGAATTAAGCACGGGGCTGTAATGAATGTGAGGGAGAGCGGTCTGTTTAAGGCTCAGGCTCTGTGTCAGAGTGCACGCCTCTCCCTGTGGTCACGGCTTGTCCCTAAAGGTGAGTATTGTCACACCTCGGTGTTGTTTATACGCCATAACCTCACAGAAAATGCAATAAAATGTAGACAGAGGAAATGTCGCACAACTGAGGTCTGATAAACTTAGACCCGTATCTTCAACAAAACTGCTTACAAGTCACCGGGCTCGTGCCTAGGTTCAAGTGAAAATGCTACGCTTGTTTCAGAGGTGACAGCGCTTTTCTGATCTACGGCCAAGGGATTTTGTAAGAGCGGCTAATCTATTCGCTTTCAGCAAGCCGACCTCAGATGCATATTACTCTGCGACGCACCCAGCGATATCATATTTATATGCAAAGGAAT